GGGTGGGAGATGGGGCAGAACTTCCTCTAGTTGTGTTTTAAAGGAAGTACTTGCTGCAGATGAATTTTCCTTGAACCTAAATCAGTCAGTATGAGACATGGGCAAAAGTCTCTAACCAAGGAAAGCTTTTAATATATTTTTCAGCAACAGGTGCATGACTCTGTCAAGGTGGAAGCAGTTTGGGTGTGCTTTGAGACAGTCCTGGGCATCTGAGGGATCTTAAAGCAGAGGGGCATGGTATGCAGTTTTCTCTTAAGAGCAGCTGTCTGGAGGTATTTAAAGTTGCTCCTATAGATGAAGATGAGGGTCCAGTGGGGTTGATGAAATCTGCTAACCCCAGCACACGGCAGGGAGGCCATCACTGTGCTGTGGAAAACCTCAGCAGGTCCCTGTGGACATCTTTGTATTTTAAAAAATCTTCTCCCTTTCTTTTCTGTCAAGGAGCCACCTAGGCCAGCAGCTCCTCAGGGGCTGGCACCACATAGATTCCCCTGGGGTGGTAGGGCATAGTCTGGTACCAGGGCCCATCCCTCCACCCCACTTAGAGGGAGAGCAGCAGGCAGCACAGGACCAGTCCCAGCTCCTCCATCAGGCGCCCCCTGGGTGTGGGCTGTGAAATGAAATGAAATGTGGCTTTCCTATTTGGATGCAAGTTTGTCCCTGCACTTCTCACAAGTAACAAAACCTCTGACCATATATACACCATATCAAGCATCAAACTGATCCACAACACTCATAATGAGAACACCCTGCTCCACAAGCAAAGCTGCCTGGCAGTCCAAGTTCCCCAGAGCAGTCAGCCACTGCACGATGGTTTGCAGCTGTTTATGGTGACTCTGCTGCGGGTGTTGTAACACGCATTTGGGCACACCGCACAGTGAACTCAGAACCTCAACCTGACTTAAATGCTGTCTTCAGATAAAATAAATGGCTCAGAAACATAAACAAAGATGTTTATTGCAAATAAAAAAATCATATTCACATCATTAAGTCTTGTGAATTATAAAGAGGTCGTTTTGCAAATTTTGAAGCGTCCATGTGCACAAGGCTTGCCCTTTTCATCAGAACAGCTGTCTGGGACATGCATATATTTATCTGAATGTGCCAAGCCAAATATCTTTCCACCTAGAAAGGTTTTGATTTGGCTGGTGACATCATTATGACACTTCCACAGAATCATTTTTTCTGGATCTGACAGTAGAGGCTCATAGAAAACACCAAACCAAGAATCTGGAAAACAAAGACATTTCTGGTATTACTTGGCAGTTCTGGAAATCCCGGAATACAACAGATACATAGATGGAATATTTTGTTTTCAAATGTCTTGGATTTACATGCAGGCTAAATCTGCTATACAGAAGATCTTTTCCAATAAAACTCCTAAAGAACATGTCTCCAGAATAAAGCCATTTTAATGAAGTCAGTATGTGCCACAGGTAAAACTGCAGACATGATGAAGAAGTTTCATTTATTTAAAAGTTGGAGTGCCTCTGTGGATGGGGAAACTTGTATCTCTGGGGATTTAAAATACAGTTGTTAGCTGTAATGGAGCAGCAATTTTTGAGGAGGTCAAGAAATTCGGACCAAAATTTTTCTAATAAAGTTGGAAGAGCTTTCTGATTTCATTGTGTATTCTAAGGGTTGTTTCCCTTTGAAATCTCTCTTCTTTTCCACTGTCACTCTCTTTTTTCTAAATATATGTGTCAAGTATATGTATACAGGTATACATATGCATGTGTCTATGTGTACAAGTTTACATCTATACGCATACTGCACCATTTTGAGTGGCAAATGGTCAGGCAATGAGTATTTTATATTCATCAGTAATAGATTTGGGAAAGAAACACTGAGTTCACTGAAGAAACTGTTTCTTGAAACAGAAAATTCAGTAGGGTCACCTTCTGTAGTGGGAAATACTGGGTCAAATTCCACGTCCTATGACAGACAGCTGGTGAGATCAGAGCAGAAAGCTTCCTTCTGGATTTAAAATTAACTAGTCTGTGAAGGTGTTCCACAAAAAATGGAAAGCATCCTACTGACACTTATGAAGCCATGAACTTCGTTTCATTTACTTCATACTTCATTTACGTAAGGAAAAGATGGAGGAGTGCATACGTAACATGGGGGCACAGCTAAGACAAGGGGATGGACTCACAGCTGGAATAAACTGACAAGGCTTCCCTGACATACCATGCTCACATTTTCACTTGTGCCAAGTGAAGCTGGGCCCTTCTCAGTATCGTTTTCACTTAAGGTGACCTGAAACCAGTAACAGCCCACAAGTGGCATAATGAAGCAAGCAGAGGTGGGAAGAGCATTTCTTTTTATCTGGGGGTTTCCAGAGCAGAGAGCTGGTTAAGCATATAGCCTTTAATTTGCAATTGCCTGAGAAGTCATAATATGTTAATATCTTTGGAAAGGCTAAATGTTTATCAAGTGTAAATTGCCAGCTGACAATCTGTACCAGCTGAGGCTCATATTGTTTATTCATGTTATTTTCTAATCCTTTTATGACTGGGAGAGGCAGCCACCACAGAAAATGCCAGCTGGAGAGCAGGAAGAAATGATGGCCAATGAAGTGAAGGCTACAACCCCCATAACTGCAGTAACTAGGGCAAAGTGACTTATAAATTACCTCAGGGATACAGATGCAATTTTATACTTCCATTATATTTTCTAAGGCCTTTTAATATTGGTGTACTTCACCTGTTTTCCCCCACAAAGTCTACATATGGGTTAGAGACCTGACCCCCACATATAGCGCCTTAAAGACTGTGCCCAGTAAGAAGTTGGTGGCCTATTCTCTCCCAGTGCTGCATCTATGTAACTCTTCCCTGCTTACTAGTATTTTCCTGGAAATGTGTTTTTGAGTTGGGGCTCTTGCCCACTCTTCCATCACAAGGAACAATTCTCTGCCAATGATGTTAAGAAGTTTTGCTTGGGATAACAGACAGGAGAGCAGGGGAATAGGGAAATCATGGAGGAAGAGTGTAAAGAAAGAAAATGACCAAAGAAAGCAACATGATGAAATCACCTATTTCTTTGTCATTTTCTTCTAACCAAAGCCTATCATTCATCAAGTAGCTGACTGGATAGCCTCACTTCTCCTCCTCTCTTCAGAGAAAATCTTGCATGTTATTCTTCAGTGTATGATGAGGCAATTAAAAGAAGCAGTTCACATACTCTGTGGTTTTTTTACACTCAGGCTTACATGGAGCATCACAGGTGTACACTCCGCCACATTCATACACAATCTTGATGGCTAAAGTACACCTCAGAATTAAAATTTTGTTACCACAACTTCTCCATTATAAGAATATGTAGTTTAGGGACTAAGTTTTCTTATGGGATAACTTTTTCCTCAAGCAAAGAAGAGAAAGAGGAGGAAATGTTTGGCTATTGTGTCTTGTGTCTTCTGGCACTGTGTATGTGCACACCCCTCTGTCCACAGGGTTTGCTATCAAGGCTCCAGGACTGTCATTTTTGTGCAGAAAAAGTCCCATGTGATACACTTATACAGGGAGCAGGGTGGTCTGATCTGGCTCAGCAGCCATATACTGTTCATATACTGTTCATATGAAATAACAGCAAGATTAAAGCTACAGTGAGATGTGGTTTTCCCTTGTCTACTAATTGAGCAAGCCAGGCTTTTTAATCCCATTCCCAAAGTATTTCCAAGAAGAACATATTGATTGTCAGCTACCAAATATTATAGTGGTGTACACTGGTACCTCAATAACAGCCAGTCCAAAGGCGATCCCCATAATTATGACCAGATGCTCTTGAAATAATTTGATAATCACTTCTCCACAAGTCTGAAAAATATGACAAAATTATTAATTATAAGTAAGCAATATTATCCTAAGGTTATTAGGAATGCATCTTCTAAAATAACTCTCACATGTTCTCTCTCTTTCTCATTAACTCTGTATTAAAGAAAGGCTATTTGAATTTACTCTGGTGTTTTGTTAATGAACACAAAGAATACAGCTATGCGTACCTTATGCTCTGAGAAAGATATGTAGTCTTTGCTTTCCCAAATATGAAGATTAATTTAGTAGCTGACTATAAAATAAAGATACAGTTTCTAAGGAAGACATACAGCTGTAATGCCTAATGTTTGCATGGTTTTCAGCTAACAAGGCAGGAAGTGTTTATTCTTATTTTCATTTAGCAATCATTCACTGCAAGGAGAGAGCTAATGCAGTCATGATCAGGTCTGAAAGAGAACTTCAGTTTCCCACCAAGCTGATCTTTGAATTTGAAACTTCAAGGCTTATTACTAGAGTTGGACTCTTTAAAATTAATTTTGTCAAATGCTTGCTGTTCTTGGGCTGGGACTGGAAGGAAGAGAGTGATCACAACTGAAGCTCTATGCAGAGCTACTCTCCTTTTGATTATATGCATACATCTGCTCTTATAATGACTGCATCCTCTTCAGGCATTGATAATGCTCCTTCTGCAAACTGTAGGGAGAGCCAAGTACAGCTTAAATCCATCAAAATTGCATTACTGTTACAACACTACAACTACCTTCCCCCCCCAATATAGTTATATTCTTTCACCATATTTCCTCCCTCACAATGAACACAATGGTCTTCTTCTAATTCTTCTAAAAAACATCTAATTTAACTTGGCTCAGAGGAGCACTGGAGGGAAAATCTTTTTTTTCCCGGATCACAAGAGCTGGGTGTCTCTATTAGCATCTTACACCACCATGAAATCTGCACGTTCATGTGAGTGACATCTTGCACCTGCAGTAATTTCACTGGTAGCACGTCATGTGTCCTTTGAGGGTTTGCCTGAGGCCAAAAAGACATTAAAATGTGGCCAAAACAGCCTCTTTGTACACATATTATTTCCAGACTGGGTTCTGGCATCTTTCTACTTAACCAGACTATTCCTTTGCTTTAAAACAGTATTTGCTTCTGTGGGACTACACAGGGAAAAAATTACTGTTCAGGCAGGACCTCACTATGGAGCTGTGCATTTAGGGAAATAAACAACCATAATGGATATTTACTAAAATCTGTTTTGTGCCAGGTACACACTGGCAAACTGTGCACCACCAGCATTCTAAAACTTCAATTCTTTTCTGCACTTTTTTTTTCAGATTTTCTTTCATATGCACAGAATCCAAATTTCCTTATAAGGAGACAGGTAAACCTTGAAATCAAATAACTGAGATCTTTACAGTCCATGTCAATTTTTGAGTATACTGTCTTGTTGCCTGTCACCAGATTTTTTGCCTTATTATTCTATTAACTGTTACAAGATTTTTGAAAGGCTGTAGTTGCAGGAAAGCACACTTTGAGTATGCTGCCATGAAGCCTACAACTTGTAAGGTTTCTTTCCAGCAGATCCTGCAAAATGAGCATGGGTTTTTGTAAGAAAGGATTATAAAACCCCAAAGGTCTTGCATTTAATGTGTTTGTTTTTCAATATCTCTTAGTAGTTTGAAAGTCACTGAGTCTACATGTTTACTACCAGAATGCACCTAGTGGGAACATAACCTTCTGAGGGAGAAATGAGAGCCACAAGGTAGCTGATGTGTGCTCTGACCCAGAGGTATACCCTGACCCCAAAGTCATAACAGTTTTCACCAGTAGTCATCATGCAGTCTGCTGAGGTAATAGATGGCACCAGGCAATGCTGGCTAACAAAAAGAAAGCAAAACTTTGAACTTTGTCTTTTTGGAAAGATACAGAACTGCTGACTATGCCAGTCACCAAAGCCAATCTTGGCTTAAAACTTGACATTTTGGAAAGAAGAGTGGAACATTACATTTTTCTTACCGTTTTATAAACAACTGTGTTTTGATAGGGGGCACAGAGGTCTGATGGCTTTTCTAGTTCACACTTACAGATTTCATCATTAAAATTTTTTCCCCAGTCTTCAGCTCCTTTCAGCAAACCGCAGCATTTGTTCTGCAAGAAAGGAGGAAATGGGGAGATGAGGAAAAAAGTGGTAAATTTTCAGTTTGAGGAGAGTAGATGAGGAAGCCTAAAGGAACAACAAAGGACAAATTGTCTTTCATCTTTTCCCATGTGGAAGTTGTCCCAAACAGCCTTTACATTTCCTTATCAGTTACAAGAATATAAGTGCACAATTTTGAAAAAAAAAAAAAAAAAGAAAGAAATAGGGGGGAAAAGACCAGAATTCCAATATAAAGTATTCAAAAAACACTGCAATACTATAGAGCAATTGTCAGTGTCAGAATGGAACTGAAACATGGAACAACAGTGGGTATAGTAGTTTTTGAGAATCAAGTCTTCTTTCTGTAAGCTATACTTGCAGAAGGAAAGTAATAGCTCCAGCAAAATCCACATTTCACATCTTGGAAAGTCAAGCTGGAAATGTAAAATTCAGGCACATAAAACTCTGAAATCTAGAAAAATAACCACTTTGAATGATGGTTATCCCTTTAAATTAGAAATGGACTGAGGAGACCAGGGCTCCATTTGGGGTTTGTGAAACCTAAACCAGGTGCAGTTTCACTTCATGTTCTACTTCATTCAAGCCACTTAAGCTCAGAGGTGCAGATGTGGGTTTGAGGTCCCCCCTCTTTTGAAAAGCAGCTGGAAATGTTCACATAATTTTGTATAAAAGCAAAGGCCGTGGGACACAATAAAGAAGTCCTGGTCTATTTAAAAATTAATACAGTAATTATGGGATTTTTCATTTTGCTTACCCTTCAATCATCTCTACAGGGAGCTGCTTATTATATCAGAAGAAATAAGCTGTCTCAGAAACAGAGGAGAAGGCTGGAGGTGGAATGGGGAAGGAGAAGTGGAAGTAACATAAGACACCTAAATATTATTTCTTGACTCCTTTTCTTTCACACAGCAGTCTTTAAAATCATAGGAATTGTCTAAGTCTATCCATCGAAGTCATCTCCCATTAGGAACTAAAAAAAATCTTAACAGCAGACATTCTGTCAATGTACAGACCCAGGTACTAGTAGGAGGGAAATGGGTCTACACTGTCAATGATATCAGTGAGATTCAAGGGTATTCTCTGTGTGAATCCCAGGGGCACAGCAACACTTGTTCATCTTCTGAGGTCTTGCAGATGAGGGGAGACAGGAAAAGTAAAAGTACAATAAAAACAAACTTCTGATCATATTTTCTTCCCTCTTCTCACACAGAAAAGTATGGCATTTAATGACTTCGTAGCAATAGGATATTCCAAATCATATACACTTCTGAATTTTTCCTCAGCCTTGCGGTAATCTTTCCTTAAAAGTACTGGATAGTTGTTATTTGGGATACAGTGAAGGATCAATGTTCTTTCAGAATGGAAAGCTGCAACAAAGAAGCAGGCAGCCTTCTCATGAAAGAGCTTAGCTAACTGTCAGTCTCACTTGCATGTTGCGTGTCCTTGCTTCATGGCTTTATAAACACTATTGCATAAAGAAATCATCACAGAAAGACCATGTCATATCCAGGGAACAGAAGCCCCTTCTGAAGTGTTTTAACCTGCCTTTAAATCAGAACCTTCCCCATGAGCTGGGAATGAAATTCAAATCTATAGCAGAGCAGTCATAAAATGAGACAAATGCCAGAGATGGAACAGCTAGCAAAACCCCTGCCCTTTGTTGCTTTTTAAATACCTCTCTCTGAAACTTCTGGAAGTTCTTCTGAAACTCTGTATAATTTTCTGCAGTCTCTTGCAGTGCCTTCACACCATCCTCCAGAGTCTTGTTAAGGAGACTTTCAGCCTACAAATTAAAATATAGTATTCATTTTCAGGATAGAAACAAAACTCTGTGAATACATCAGTGAAAATATAGAATAATACTGTACCTGAGATCTGTGCACTGCACCTAAAATACCTCCTGTGATCTGAAGAATCAGGATCAGAAGCAGACCAATAAAAAACTACGAAGAAAACAAAAGGGGGTGAAAACTATAGCACTTTTGACCAAGTCTACATTACTCTTTCATGTGCTTGAATAAGCACTAGGTAGAATGAAGTTCCAGTCAGAGCTGCTCCAGTTTTTGGTTCTTTGCCAATGAGAAAAGAGCGCACTCGAGAGAGAGTGTGCTCAGTTGGTGATCAAAAAAGGTGCACATCATAGTGGCATGATGGGCAGCATGCAGGTGAGAGGTGTTGGGTAGGAGAATGGGTAGGGCATTCTAAGTGGACCAGCAAAGGGAACAACTAGGAATTTATGAAATTAAATGGGATAGGTAATGGGGGAGGATTCATGGAGGGAACTTCATTGATGGCTCGATGGAAAAAAAGCTAGTGACATGCTCAGGTCTCTCTGGATCCTGTCTTCTTGTTGATGAGATCACCCATCATTTTTACCACACTAGAATTCAGAAGGGGCTCAAGCTTAAGGTAAGCAATGAAAACACATGATCATAATCATGCTTTTGGTTAAACTAAAAGGCTTCCATCCAGATTTCATACTACTTGTAATGACTTTATCCATCAAATATAGCTGTAGCCTGTTAAAAGTAGACGAATGTTTTTCTTTCCTACCAATAGCAGCATGCACCGGCTCTCCTTTATAGCACCACAGCACCCAAGAAAACCAAGGATCATAATAATGGCGCCCACGGCTATCAGCAAATCAACTCCTGCAAACAGGCTGCTATCTATACCCAGCTCCTGAAACAAGAGAGAAAAAAGTATCTCAGCTATAAGAAGATCCTCCTAAAAACATCTGTATCCCCCAAAACAAGATAATTACATTGGAATGAATAAATATGCTGATTAGCAACCATAGAGAAATTCTGACCCATAAATAAATGAAGCTCTAATGCTCCCATCTTAAACGTTTTGTTGGGGAGCTCAGTAGTGTTAGTGTAGAAAACACATAATCACGGAATGATTATATGGGTGCTTTTATTGAAGAGCTCTGGGAGTTGGGGTACAGACCCAAATCTGACTCTGACATGGTTCTGAGATGGATACATTTTTATACTCTTCTCTTACATAACCATGGTATAGTGATATGTTAATCATTACTTTGCTATTGTTCTATTGATTTCATCCAAGCATGATTCGAGTTCTCTTTCATCCTTGTTATGCTTCACCCAAGCATGAGTTTCAGTCCCCCTTCCATCGTTGTTGTATTTCACCCGAGCGTGAGTTCGAACCTTTAACTGATTTTAGTTTAGAAACATTTTATCCCATGTTATCAGTAGAACCTGGCTTTTCACAACCTGTCCTCTGCACAAGATGGAAGTCAACTCTACAGAGTAAATAAAGATCTCTTGTCTTTAAAACGGCTTTCAGGTGGTTTTCAGTAGATGAATCTTTGCTTTTTATTGGAAGTAGCAAACTTGATTATCTCAAAATCTCTCCTACATTAACCAAAAAACATTTTATCCCATGTTATCAGTAGAACCTGGCTTTTCACAACCTGTCCTCTGCACAAGATGGAAGTCAACTCTACAGAGTAAATAAAGATCTCTTGTCTTTAAAACGGCTTTCAGGTGGTTTTCAGTAGATGAATCTTTGCTTTTTATTGGAAGTAGCAAACTTGATTATCTCAAAATCTCTCCTACATTAACCAAATGTTAAAGAAACAAATCCTGTTTGTCATTAGAAGGCCAGGAATATACTCTGTGGCTGTTCCTGAGAAAACACTTCTCAGAGTGATGCTGGATATATTAGAGAAATAGTTAGATGTATTTTTTGAAGCAGCTTTCTTTTTCTTTTTCTTTTTCAGGCATGATCTCTAATATAACCCTCAGAGATGAGGACTCTATTTTGATGTGTGGGACATTCAACTAAACAATTCATATACCTCAATATTATTAAATATCGAAATAGTCAGTTCCCACTGGACTGATTGAGGCCAAAATGGAGCAAAAAAGTTCAAAGAATATTTTCCAGCGTGACTTCTGCCAAGATTAGCAAAAATATCTGGAAATTGTCACATTTATCTTCCCATGGAAATTGTAAAGGTATATAGACAAGTATAATTTGAAGAATGTGTTGTTCTTTCCCCTTCCAAGTTGGACTGAACCTCCTGTTATTTATTCCTAGAAAGCTCTACTTATCTACAGCCAAATCCTTATGATCTGTTCGATTATTATTCAGGCAAAACATATATTAGTTTTGAATGGGAACTTTGCCTGCCTGAGGGCAAAAATGCAAGAAAATGCTTACTTCACAGGTTTTTGGAGAGTACTGTCAGCTCAGGAAAGAAGTCTGGGACACATTTAAGCCTGCTTTTCTGAATAGGAAATCTCTAAAAAAATTAGAAAGGATAATAGTGGTTGTGGTTTTCCAAGCCCCATTTTACCACCTGAGCCATCATATGAGAGATTGTTGATTAGCAAGTATGGCAATTTTAGCTTCTAGTAAAATATTGATTGAGGAGTGAAAGTTGTCATTCTTCCTCTTCCACAGGAGAGAATGGCAGAGCTCTCCACCATGATCTAATTTACCCCATGACACAATGTCATCATGAATGGAGTTCTCTTGCATCCATCCTCTGACAGACATGAGACATCTGGTACTGCCTAAGGGCAACAGTGTTACCAGCTAAATGCCAGGAAATATATAAAGCTATCCTCTTATCTCCACCATCTTTTTATTTCCAGATGGAAAAATATTGAGTTAAAAATTACTGTTCTTAACTGATGGACTGTGCTGAAAATATGCTTCCATGTCACACCTGGCCATTTTTTCGCTTCTATGGGCAGAAAACCTTTTTGAAAGTAGATGAATCCAAATTAAATTGTCATATTCATTTGTATTCTATGGCCCAAATTCAAATGAAGAAACACACTGCTTGAACATTAGAATCAGTGCCACTGGGTGTGCGCTGAGCAAATGGGCCTGCAGGGCCAAGCTTCTTTGCACCAACAGGACCAACCTCTGCTGCATGTCTGCAAGATTAATAGCCCCTCAACTTTGTCTTTTTCCTAGTTTGGCAGAAGAGGAAAGTCATAAATGTCTGAAGTAATTTAATAACTCTCATAAAAATCCAGGAACGGAACTCAGGGACTCGTCTTCTCCCTCCAGAAGGGCTGTTAGAACATTTTAATCCTAAGTAAAGATTTTTGGATATCTAAAACTCTTTCTACATAAATATGAGGGGAACAGGGTAAGAAGTTGCTGAAAATAGAAGGGAAAAATCCTTGCCCCTTTTCTAAGTTGCAGTTAGTAGGGAAGAAAGAATTGTGTTATTGAAGATAGTGAGAAAGGTAAAACTATTCCCTACAAACATATGGAGTAACCCTAGGAATATATATGACTATACTATTGTAGTAGGGAAAAACACTGAAAGGTCTATGAGCTGCATGGCTCCTTATTATTCTCTCTGACACTGAAATCAATAACAAAACCATCATTCATTTTCATTAGAGGAGAGAGACTCATATTTTCAAACAGAAATCTGTGTGCATCTGCATGAAACTACATTAATAACACTAGAAGACACTTCATGTAGTCATGTCTCTGCTTGTGTCAATCACTTCATCTGACTACCTGCACCATGTTGTTTAATCTTAATATCATAAAATGCATTTATCTTTGCCCATGCAAACCACCTCAATGAAAGCATAGCAAATTTGTGGAAATCAAGATGGGAAATGAATGGAAAAGTGTATACAGTAGATTCCATGTTTTACATGGTGCTGGTATGACTGCATGCATTTACCTCCTGAATATCTTTGCTAACACGTATCCATATAGAGACTCCCAAAATAATGCAACCACACACCTGCAGGAGGAAATAAAGACAAGTTAGAAAGGTCAACAATTTTTTACTAATGTTCAGCATCCAGATTGCACCAGATGATATCCAAAATTCTGAAATCATTTGTTTGGCAAAGTGAAAGAAACATGAATTGCTGGAGCATAGAATACTGATTCATATCCATGAAACTTCATAAGGGTAGTTAAATCTTCAGGTATGAACCAAATCCCTGATGTTTCTTCCTCAGAGGACTATACATTTCCTTGATTATTTATAGCTGTGATTGGGAAACACACAGAAATTCTGTCACATGAGAGTGGAAAATCAATTATTGTATTTAGATAATATGTATGTAAAGGATGTTGTTTCTTGCATAATGGAAACATGTGAGATTTGATAAGGATATTTGCATAAATGTTGTTTCTAGAATTATCCAGGACACATAGCTAGAGACATATTCTCTACAGTAAGACTACCTGGAAAAGTTCTAAATAGTCTTTCTGCTGTTTCCAATGCAGCAATATCTGGCCATCTCCAATCCTTTGAATAGTCTTCTTACAGAATATATATAGTAATTATTTCCATTATACTTTTACAGAAAGCAACTATACTTGGTCATGTACATGTGAAACTTAGACCAGGATGACTTGCTTTAAGATGTTGAAGTCAGAGCAGATGAACCCGAGGTCCAGATACATTCCTTCATCACTAGTTGCGCTCCTGTTTCTTTGGTCATTGGGGTGCTGTTCCACTGTGCATCACTCACTCTATTCTTGACCTTGTCCCTGATGATTTCACATATTTCTCTTTATTAAATGTTGAAGACAGGCAATTAAGAGACTAGTCAGGCATATGGATTGTGTCATCTGAGACAACCGGTAGGAAAGAGAGATCACTGAGGACCAGAGATTTAGATCTTCCTGTATGTTGTTAATACTCAAGTCCAAAATGCCCCTGAAATGTTGTTATGTGCTTCCCATGAAGACTGGGACTATCCTTAACCTTTTAAAATTAAAACAGTTTTTTAAAATATGATTTAGATAATTTTTCTTTATAAATACTTTCCCCATGAAAGTTTTCATAGAATATTCAGAATCAAAGACCATAATGAGTTTAGCAGATTATTTAATATGGAACAGAGCCAGCATTCAGACATGAGCACCACACATTTTTTCTGCTCTAAGTAAAGCTCCTATAAAAACATTTTAAACATGAAAAGTTGTACCATCAATGACAGCTATATCATGTTATCAAATTTAACTAGACCTCTCCACTGAAACTTTCTGGATCCCACTGAATCTGCCTAGAAACTGATGGTATCATATGACTCTACATTTGGGTTTTATTCAACAGCACTGTGAGTGATGTGGCTATGCACCAAACAACTGCCTTATGTGTTGCATAGGACCTCCCATAAAAGCACTGCACAGTAGTAGAAGCCAATGCAGATAAATGTACAGAAAATTACCAGTCAGGTGGGAATCCTGCAATATTTATTTCTTCTATGCAAAACAGAAACATCATTTAGAAATAAAAAATTTTAGCAAGGTGTGCATATACTTTACTTTCAAAAACAGAGTTGGCTTAGGCTGACAAAATGTGCTCCATTTCAGTAAAATCTTAATGCTTTGTTCCTATTTTCATAACATACAAATTATACAAGAACACACAAAGAAAAGTTTTGAAATAACAAATCAAAATGGTCTGTTCACAAAGAGTCCAAGTTGAACATTTCAAGTTTGCTGGAATAATCCATCCTAATTTTTAAGTTTTCTTAAAATAAAGTTTCAACTAAATAAACTTTTATTTCAGGAAATTTCCTTTTTAATGAGCCAGTATTTTCCAATGGAATAAAAAGAGCTCTTTAAAAAGGTCCTCGCTCATTTTCCCAAAACTAGATGACTATTGTATTTTTGCTACAGCCCTTGATCAAGAATCAACAACCTCTCGTCACTGTCTCATGAACTGAACAGGAACAGGACTGCTGTCCCTCAAAATCAATAGGTCCTTCTCTTCTTGAGCCCTTCAGTCTAGTTAAATTAATATCACCTCAGATAAGCCTGCCATGACTCAGGATCAGCAGTATTTCAAGACTCTACACCTCATACACAGAAATACCAAACCTATGGGTAATTCCCTTCACTGGCACACACCTTTTTAAGCAATCAGTTCAAGGGTATCAAGAGAAGCTTTCTAGAGGGTTGCTTCTGTTCAGGAAAGCATTTGACTGGAACACTTCCTTGAGATACCTGACATTAACAGTGCTAGGAATGTGCTACAGAGAATGTGTTCTATGGCTCAGTACACCTCCTACGCTTGTGTTGCTGTTTCCAGGGCTTGAGATGTTCAGAGGCTGGGTTTGGGGGAGGGGCCACTTTGCTTGTAGTTGGGACTGCATGTCTGGTATCAATAACTGATCAAAGATACTCTGTAATTAATCCTGTTGCCTAGA